CCTTTGCCGACGACTCGATCCTCCGTCGATCGAAATTATTGTTTCCTTTTTTTTCTTTCTTTTCACCCCTGCTTGACTTTCATCTCTTCCGGTCGCCCTGCTTCATTCGGAATTGAAAAACAAAAAAAAAAAAAAAACCACTCAGTGCCATTTTATCCTTCTCACCTTGCTTTTAGAGAGTACGAGCCAAACGATTTCCCTCGTTTTTGCTAAAAATCATCAGAACTGCAAAAACAAAAAAAACAAAAAAAACATGTTCGTGTCGCAGCGCGCGAAAAATTGTGTCACGCGACGCTCTACTCGTGCAATTTTTATCTCGGATTGAAAAGGGCGTCACATAATTTGCAAAATATTTGAATCCAAAAGTTTTCCCCGCTCCCCCCGATTCTCGTTCCCTTTCTTCCATCCACATCGAGCCGAAACTTTTTGAGCTCCCTTTTCTGGGTGCACCTATACTATACTGCAGCATCAGGGCAAAACCCTTCAAACGCGACTACGCACAGTTTATACAAGCAGCCCCGCGCTTTATTTATGCTTCCGGACTCATTTCAGTTAATTAGAGGAATCTGCAGCGACGACGACGGTGGCAGCCGGGGAGGGTCGGCCTCTGGCTTCGGTATACTTTCTCGCTTTTTCATCGCCCGAGCTAGTTCGGAACGAATGCACACACCCCTCCTCTCCCTCTATCTCGATTTAATTGCACGCCACTCGACGCAGACGCCCGCCTATATATATATATATACTACACACATACCTGCTCATCCTCTTTTAGGGGATGATTCGCTCTACTCTGCCTCCTGTGCCTGTACACACACACACACACCCACCCTTGGCGTAAACATGATTTTTAAAGCAATCAAATCTCCCTCGGACTCGGTGTGGCTCTCTCTTGAATTTTCTCTTTCTTTCTTTATTACTTTTCTTGTTTTGTTAGTCGAGGGGGGGGGGGATGCTCATTTCGTAAAGAGAGCGTATCGCGAATAAATGGGATTCGTTGCTTCTTCTTTTGTTTTTTCGTCGAGGGACTATATATATACTTTCCTTTCAAGAGGAGCTTTTAAAAGGAGATTGGTGTCCTTCAAACAGCGAAACCATGTTGTTTTAATAATTCATACACGAGCCCACCTTATGCCTTTTCCGAGATCTTTGCCTCGTGGAGTTTAATGCAAATGGCTAGTTTTCTATTCAAACACCCGAGTATATATATATCAAAGCTGTACTCAAGATTCAAAGCGCGTCAAACATTTCATTGTGCTTCTGCCAGGAAAAGCTGGTAGATATAGACACGTGATGGGTGCGTTCAATCCTTTTGACGAAGAATATCGCGACCAAACTTTTAATTGGCAAAAAAATATTCAACTTTACGTTCATTACCTCTATCTCGTTAAGTAGAAAATCCCCCCCTTTGCCCCTACCTACGTGTACACTCGCTCGATATAGAAGCATTCCTTTTAATTAATTCCTCGCTGCGCGTAATTATACCTACCCCCCCCCCCCTCGGGCAATTACACGTGTAACTTTTACTACACGTTTTATACGTTTACTCCCCGCAAAAGCGTAAAGCTCCGTTCCGTGAACTATCCGCCCCCCCCCTCCTCCTCCCTTTCTCCCGTCTCCGCACTATGCATAATCCTTTTGAGACTCGATTACGTAATCCGCGGGCTGCTTCTGACAATGTTTATGAAACGTCGTCGCGGTCGAGACTCTAGTTTGACTAATTACCCTGTGTTCCGAGTTTATATGGATATTGACGGCATCGGTACAACTTGCCGGTTACACGGATATTGGAAGCCGATTCGCGTCAAACCATACGTACGATGTATTGTATTCGGCGTAAACTTTTTCGTGTCCGCGCGGGAAATAGTTTCAATTAAATTAATTAAAAATGTGATTACGGGGGGGGGGTGAGCGCGCGTGTATACACCTCCGTCGAATTTCGAAACTGGATAGGCGATAAATCGGTTTCTCGGATCTCGCGACGACGGCAAAAGAAGAAGTAGAGGGACCGGAAAAAAGAAAAAAAAAAAAAAGAAAATTCTCGCTACGATCATTAAGCCGCATAATCGCCGTTCGATCGACGTCTAATTGATTTCGCAAAAGCATCTATTTTTTTTCACGTCAATATAGATTGGCGTGGCGAAAGAATTACTGTACACGACGCGAGACACGTACATTATGTCTCTCTCGCGTGCTCTGAGAAAAACAAAAAACTCCCACGCGCTGCGAATAAAGTCGCGCAAAAGTGCGGGGATGAGAGAAAAAAAAAAAAAAGCACAGCGACGTGCGTATACTGTACGTGGAAAAGCGTCGATCAAACGGGATCGTTCCTCGTGTGTGTCCAAAAAAGGCATCGCGAGCAGCGGCGCCCGACAATTAAAAACCACGTCGGTACCGGTTTCGCCACATGCTCTCTGCCACGCGCGCAATATCGGTATACATACATAGCGTGAGAATCGCCGATTTTCGTGCCTTCCTCGAGGCCGTGTAGCTACGCACTCGTCTCGATTTTCCGCTTTTTCCGGACTCATCTCCTATCGATACAATGAGTACACGCAACCACGTAGTATATACGATATACCGTATAGAGAAAGGGATGGAAGAAGAAGACCGTGCAGGGGCGCGCCGCTCTGACGATGATTAATTGTCTCCTCTGTACCGCGTGTATGATATTATGTACATGTGTGTGTATATAATATATATATATGCGTCCAACCTGCCGATCGGCTTTCATTTTTGCGCGTTTAATACGCCACACGCGCACCACCAGCAGCTGTTGTCCGTAATTGAAACGTCTTTGGTGCTCCTCCACCCGTCCCGAGTACCATATATACCTTACATATCCTGTGTAATTCCTGCAGCGCTTCTTTTCTACTTATATNACCATCGTACTGTTGTTGTATGTCACTGTCATATGTTCGCTGTTATGATGTCTCCACTCACGAGTTTGTAATCTCTCCTCAAAAAACCTCCAATGTTCCCTTCTATCATTTCGAAGAAAAAATAATTCCATACCTACTTTTCTCTCGATGATCCGAGAGCTCCTTTATCACAAACACACAAAATAGATATATTCAGCTTTTCAACGCCTCCATCGTCATGTTGTTGTCACTCTTAACTATTAATAATTGTAATATATATACATATATATATATATATATATATATATATATGTGTGTGTGTGTGTGTATATATATATGTATAAAACAGCTTCAACTCGACTTCCCCTTTGTCTCAGCTCTCGTATTCCTTTATTTCTTTCTCTGCGTCTGCCGTTACATTGCTGTTACATATACACATATATGTATATACCAATGATCTGTATGTCTCGATCTCAAAGGCTATGTCCCCCCCATTGCAGCTTATATGCAAGGTACTGCACCACATGGTGTACTGTATACGTATGCCGTAGGCAGGGTTAAGGTTTTTCCAATTGTGTACCGTTGTGTCTCTCTCTCTCTCTCCTCCTCTGCCTATGGTATTAATTAAGCCAAGGCTTTTCCCCGCTCCGTGTAGTACAGCGGGGATTAAATCGACAACACGTGCGTACGCTCGATCAAAGGACCGCTACAAATACAAATGCCAATACAAATTCAATGCCGCTGTATACACATGTGGGCGCCTCCTTTGTATAATTTCATTGTACATATATAATATATATATTGTCATTGTTGTACAAATAAAAAAAAAAAAAAAAGACTTTTCTTGCTGATGTGTGTATGTGGTGCAGCGCCAGTATAATTCAACTGGATGAAAAAGAAGGGAGGAAGGAACGAAAAACAAAGCAACAACAATAATAATAATAATAATAATATAATCAGCCCGGAGCTTTCGAAATCCTGTGCATTTTCATTTGCGCGAGTGGGTAAAATTATGCGCATCAATCAAACATCACCCGAGCATGATATAAAATATCCCTTCCTCGCCGGGCGCCTCGTCTCGTTTTGTGTTGTTTGCTTTGTATTTTTCAAGCGCTCGTGGAATAAAACGGGCCATCATGTCATTGGATTGCGCTTCGAGAGAAAATGATAATGCATAGAAATATGAAAAACACGAGCTGTGCGTTTGAGCTTTTCGCTATCAAAGTGACACGCACATATTATGTTATATGTATAGGGCCAATAAGATTTTTTTCTTGCGTTCGGCTTGCATTTTTTTTGTTTTTTTTGTTTTTATATTCATTGTACAGACAGAAACTGTACATGCCATACTCTATGTATATTTATAAAATAATAATAATGTGTGTGTGTCATACGCACGAATGTAGCATCGACGATAAAAGGCCCGCATCACCGATCTACCGCGAATTAGTAACGAGATCCAGGGAATTTATACGTATGCACGTATACAGTACTAATTTCTCCGCTCGACAATCCGAGGGCTGTACGGTATGTATAGAAAGACAAATCTCCCGATCGACCAGTCCGCTAATTAGACTGCAGCCCAACAAATACCCGTCCTCTCTCTCTCTCTCTCTCTCGATCCGAGAGGGGCACTATATAGCACGAGGAAAGCACACGGAGACAGTCGTCATAACAAACGCTCGAATTGATACGACGACAAAAGGCCTACACGGGGGGGGGGGCTCTGTGCACCTATATAAGTACACAGAGAGAGAGAGAGAGAGAGGCACGCGGTAGGCTTCGCGCTTAGCCGGCTCGATTAACGAGGCCCGATAAGAGCGCGAAAGCTCTCCTCCGTACACAGCGACGGGGTTTCCCTCCTCCCCCCCCCCCGATTATCGGCCGATTATCGGACTCCCCCTTTAACCCTTATACCACCTTTCTTTTGTTGTTTCGCTCTCGGGAGGTCTTTCCTCCCCCACCTCGGCCACCTATTTCCGGAGGTAAATGATACTAGCGGGTCCTTTCTCTCTCGAGGGATTTAGGTGGTTGAAAAAAGTTTGTTGCATATACATGTATAAGTACACGTGTAAAATAACTCAATATTTACGCATCGGTGTGATAAGTATATACGGTGTTTTGTTTGTCCCGCGCGCACAGTTGGTCGTCGAGTCGGCGACTCAGGCCCAAGAGTACGGGGACATGGTGATCGACGACAATTCCCCGGTGAATCCCGATTTGCTCTTCGACACCCAGCACCAGATGCACCTCTACGTGATGACGGAGCGCAAGATATCGAAAGTGAAGGTCCAGGAGTGCCTGGTGTACAAGACCTGCTGGGAGTGCCTGAACGCAAAGGACCCGTACTGCGGCTGGTGCTCCCTCGAGAACAAGTGCAGTTTGCGCAGCGATTGCCAGGACGCGGCCAAGGACCCCCTCTACTGGATATCGTACAAGAGCGGCCGTTGCACGACCATCACGAGCGTCACGCCCGACAAGCTCCAGAAGACGACGGCCCGTACCTTGGAGCTCGCCATCGAGAACCTGCCGAGTCTGCCGGGCCAGTTTCTCTGCGCCTTCTCGGCCCTCGACAAGGTTCTCATAACCAACGCCACCCGGAAATCGTACGGCGTGAATTGCACGACCCCGAGGACGGATCTGTTGCCGCCCATACCGCCCGGCCAGCACCACTTTACGGCCAAATTGTCGGTGCGCATGACCAACGGCCCAGACCTCGTGGCCACGGACTTTACCTTCTTCGACTGTAGCACCCACAGCTCGTGCACCCAGTGCGTGTCCTCGAATTTCCCGTGCGACTGGTGCGTCGACGGTCACAGGTGTACCCACGACACGGCCGAGAACTGCCGCAACCACATACTCGTCACCGGCGTCAGCGTAAGTTTATTCCTTACTTATATGCTATAGCATCCCGAGCTCGGTTAATGTATCGGTGAATCATTGCAGCGCATGGGCCCGAGCTACAGGAGCGGGCCCGCCTTTTGTCCGACGATCAACGCCACCGATTCCAAGGAGATCCTCGTCTCGTCGGGCATCAACAAGAGAATAAGCGTCAAGGTCCACATAATCGGGGTAAGTCGATCAATCGCCTCTTCTTTTTCTTTTCCATTAGCCAAGACGTGGTTGATCCGACGGTTCGCGTACGTTTCAGCAATTCATCGTGCAGACTCGCTTCGTGTGCCAGTTCAACATCGAGGGCCGGGTCACGAGCGTTAACGCGAACCTGCTCGCCGACACCATATACTGCGACGGCACCGAGTTCTCGTATACGTCGCGGGCGCCCAACATCACCGTGCCCTTCGCCGTCATCTGGGGCGGCTCCAAGCCCCTCGACAATCCCGACAACATACACATCGTCATTTACCGGTACGTGCGCCACATGTACTGCACTTTCGTGCGGCCAACAAAAGCAGGAGGCCCCGATTCACCGAATTGTTTTTGTGGTGCAGGTGTCGCGACATGGCCGACAATTGCGGCATGTGCCTGGCCCTGGCCGAGAAGTACGGCTGCGGCTGGTGCATGACGTCGGAGAGCTGCGAGGTCAAGGACCAGTGCGACAAGGGTAGCGGCACGTGGCTCGACCGCAACCAGACCTGCCCGAATCCCGAGATCTTGAGGTTCGAGCCGATGATGGGACCCTGGGAGGGCCACACCAACATCACCATAACCGGCATCAATCTCGGCAAGACCTTCAACGACATCTACCAGGGCGTGACCGTCGTCGGGTTGCCCTGCCAGCCGTACGAGGAGCTCTACATACGCACCAAACAGATAGTCTGCCGGGTGGACGGACCAGGTGACAATAAGGTACGCGTATACCGATGGCTTGTTCATTCTTATCCGTAGTGAAATGTCTGCTGTATGTATGTATGTAATGTTGACCGGTTTCCGCGTGCAGATACGCGAGGGTCCGGTGATCGTCAAGATCCAAGACTTCCGAGGCCAATCGAAGAGAACCTACAAGTTCGTGGATCCCAGTATAACGAGCATCTCGCCAAAGAGCGGTCCGATGAGCGGTGGCACTCGGTTGCGCATCAAGGGCAACTACATGAACGCCGGCAGCCGGATCCAGGCTTTCATCGACAAGCTGCCCTGCGACATCAACAACACCGAGCACGACGAGGTCCTCTGCATAACGAGCGCGAGCGACAGACCCCGCACGGGTTCCCTCCAGATGCACTTTGACGAGTCCATACGCCAGTACAACGGCTTCTACGAGTACGTCCAGGACCCGGAGATTGTGAGCGTGGAGAGCGGCGTCGGTGGACAGCTCAAGATACCCAAGGGCATACCCTCGGGTGGCATCAAGATCAACGTCACCGGCAGGAACCTCGGCTACATCGAGAAGCCCGAGATGTACGTCTACTACGAGGGCAAGCAGTTCATATCGCAGGCTTGCACCATCCACAGCCACACCAACATGATCTGCAGATCACCGGAGATCGACGTGCCGCAGGGTGTGCTCGACGCCGAGAAGCCTCTGCAGCTCGAGTACGGCTTTAGAATGGACAACGTCGCCCAGGTGCAGAATCTCACGAAGCAGGGCCTGCAGGCGTTCCTGCTCTATCCCGATCCTGTCTACAACGTCTTCGACGAGGACCTGCTCGTTAAGTACTACAAGGTGAGACCTCGTCTCTTTGGGACACTGATACTTGACACGCTAGAATTTGAAGATGCTTCAATGAGTGTGTGTGATTTTTTACTTTTCAGAGCGACTACCTGACCATTAACGGCCAGCACTTGGACAGAGCCTGCCAAGAGTCCGACGTCGTAGTAAAAATCGGTGACAGTTATTGCAACGTCACCTCGCTCTCTCGGCAGCAGCTGACCTGTCGACCACCGTCCACTCAGCCGCCTGCCCTCGACTCCAATGGCAATCCCAAGCCCGATTTGCCGGAGGTCATCGTCATCGTAGGTGGCAATCTCAAGTACAGAATCGGCCAGCTCAGTTACGCTCTTCCGGCTGGCCCCAACAGTCCGCTCTCCAAGCCGGCCCTCATCGGCATCATCACGGCCATTATCATCCTCGTGATCGTCTTCATTGCCTTCCTCATAGCTTATCGGCGCAAGTCCACCGAGAGCAACCGCGTGCTCAAAAACATGCAGGAACAGATGGACATACTGGAGCTGCGCGTAGCTGCCGAGTGCAAGGAAGCCTTTGCCGAGCTTCAGACCGAAATGACGGACTTGACTGGTGACCTCACCAGTGGTGGCATTCCATTCTTGGATTACAGGACCTACGCCATGAACATTCTCTTCCCGTCGGACGACAATCACGTCGTACTGCAGTGGGACAGACCCGAGCTTATGCGCAAAGAAAAGGGCTTGAGACTGTTTGGCCAGCTTATCATGAACAAGACTTTCTTATTGCTATTTGTAAGGACATTGGAGAGCAATAGGTACTTTTCGATGAGGGACAGGGTCAACGTCGCGAGTCTCATTATGGTGACGTTGCAAAGCAAGATGGAGTATTGTACGGATATTCTAAAGACCTTGCTTGCCGATCTGATTGAGAAGTGCATGGAGGGCAAGAGCCATCCCAAATTACTGCTGCGAAGGTTTTTCATCAATTTCATTCGTAACTATAGATAATATCAGGGAAAAGCAAAGGTAAAACGCTCGTTTGATTTCAGAACTGAGAGCGTTGCCGAGAAAATGCTGACCGCGTGGTTCACTTTCCTGCTGTACAAGTTTATGCGCGAATGCGCCGGTGAACCTTTGTACCTACTCTTCCGTGCCATGAAGCAACAAGTTGACAAGGGACCAGTCGATGCCATTACTTCGGAGGCTAGATACTCGTTATCAGAGGAAAAACTAATCAGACAGTCGATCGAATTCAAGGGAATGGTATGATTAAATAATGAACAAATTATCTTTCACTATACTTAAAACTATTATACATTATTACTTCAATTCAATCTTGTGTTTTAACTTTTTAGACTGTCTACGTGTCCATTTCCCAACAAACCGTCTTTGTTGGAGGTCTTGATCCAAATACCGAAAACGTTCCAGTTAAAGTGCTAGACTGTGATACGATTTCTCAAGTCAAAGAAAAAGCACTTGACACCATCTACCGATCTACACCTTACAGTCAGAGACCGCGAAAGGATGACCTAGATCTCGGTGAGTTTCGTCAAAATTTCGTTTAAAAACAGCAAATACCTGTTTTTTTTTTTTTTTTTTTTTTTTTTTTTTTTTTTTTTTTTTTTTTTTTTTTTTTTT